TCTTCTCTTACCCCTTCCTGTTCTCATCATTTCCACCAATAAATCCACATTATCCATAACTGCCTTTATTTTATTTTATTATTTTTGTGGTACCAGGGATTGAACTCAGGGCCTCGTGCTTGCCAGGCAAGCACTTATTCTACTGAGCTATCTCCCTGGCCCCCATAACTGTTTTTTGAGAATTAAGTACAAGAACAACCTCTGTAATGCACTTGCACTTACTGGCATAAGCATACACAAATAACTCAGAAGAAGACTTGGATGACTCAAGAACAGAAAGAGGAGAAACCCTATACGATATACTTTTCAATGTTCCTACCATGTATAGTTGTCCTCACAATTAAACATAATGAAACTGAAATTGTTTTAGTCTGCTCCTGCCCACTCTAAACTTTGCTCCAATGATCACTGGTCCACCTGTTTCACTGTCTTCCTTGGCTTATTGACATGCTTGAAATCTCCCATTTTATTTAAAACAGATTAAATTATAAAAAAATTCCCTTCCCCAAGGATTTTTAGCTACTGTCCTCACAGGAAATGCTCACTCAGGATTCTCCAGAGCATTTATTCTCATTTTTCTTCTTCATTTCTAATTCATACTCGATCCTGCATGACCCAATTTATTTTTTGAAGTTGCTAATCTGGGTGTAAAGACCTGGGAATGCCTGGCCCTGCCTTCTCCCTCCTTCACCTAGTACTCCTTGCTCATACTCAGCCAGAGGGCCCCACCATTGTAATCTATTTTACTTCCTCATTATAGTCTCTCCCTTCTCTGGGGCTCCATAACTGAGTAAATGGAAACAGAGAAATCTGTCAGAGAACATAGGACTTGTTCGCTGATGGGTGGAATAGGTGAATACTTTCCTCTCCTACGAGATAAGGACATCTGGGATTGAGCCTGAAACTGCTCCATTCCCTTGTCCCCACCTCAAGTTTTCTGCTCCAAATTATCTGTGCCATTCCAGCAAATCGGCTTCTCCACCTTCCTTCCCCAAGCACACAGGATATTCTAGCCAAAACAGGACTGCACTTACTAGCTCTCTAGACAAACCAAGAGGTTCCCAATTCATGAACTTTTTTCATACCACTTCCTCTATCTCTGATGGCCTCTCCTTACTCAGTCTAAATTCTAACCCTCACACACCAGCTAAACGCCACTTTTCCACTGAGCCCTCCCAGAAGCCCAAACTCAAAAGTCTCCGTTACCTCTCACCACTCCATTTTTCTCTGAGTTTCTCAAAAACCTTCCATGGTAGTTGTTGCTCATCTCCTCTTGCAAACTGTCTACCCTTACAACAAACACTCTATTTTTTATTCCTCCATCTCTTCACAAGTAACTGAAGATCCTGATGAACATCATACAGCAACAGCACAAGGCTAAGGAGTAGACCCTGAAGGCTGAATGAACGCTTGACTCTGAATATTAATTCAGCTATTTATTAGCTATTTGATGCTGGGAAAATTACCTAACCTCTCTGTGCTGCAGTTACCTTCACGTATCCAATGGAGATAAAGTAGATATTTTACAAGGCTTCAGAAGATTAGAACAGTGTAAACACCATAGAAGGATCTATCGGATACATAAAATCACAGAATGGAAAAGTACAGTACTGACTATACCGTGATAATTGTTTAAAGCTTTGTGACATTAACAGGGAAAATGAAATGGCAAGAGCACAGGTAGTGTCGAAGTACAAACTGCTATATACAAATTATTTCTAAATTTTCTTATGCATGCCTTATGGGTTAACTATTTCCTGTACAGTCTTCCTCATATTAACAAAGATTCTGTTTTAGTTTGCTACTTCAATACTCAGACAGTGTTTAGCTCTGCCTTGTATGGCCCTCACTACCTAAACTGGCCTCCCTGCATCCAGCTGTAACCCCTTAATCTGTCTGCCCCAAGGTTCAGAATAGTCTTACTAATGTGCAAATCTGCTACACACCCTCTCCATTCCACCTCCCATAGGACAGTTTAAAGCTCCTATCAATCTCATACAAAATCTTGCTAATCTGGCCTAGCCTACTCTCCAGGGTCAGCTCGCAAATGTCTTGATCACTTGGACACTCCTAAAGGACCCTTTACATGCCATTCTTTTCACCTGGAACCCCGTGTTTACTAGTTTGCTGGGGCTTCCATGACAAATTATCAAAATCTGTCTAATTTATCTTCTCACAACTCTGGAGGCTTGTAGTCCAAGACAACCCTTGGACTACAATAAACCAGTGTTAGCAGGTTTGATTTCTCCTGAGGCCTTTCCTTGGCCTTCTTGACACAGGCACATTTGGACTTTCCTTATACAGATGCATCTCTCTCTCTCTCTCTTTTTTTTTTTTTTTTTTTTTTTTGCGGGACCAGGGATTGAACTCAGGACCTTATGCTTGCCAGGCAGTGCTTATTCTACTGAGCTATTTCCCCGGCCCCTCTGGTATTCCTTCTTATATTAAAAATTTCTTTGCTTATAAAATAAGCCATTAGATTCAATTAGGGTCCACCTAAATGGCCTCTAACTTAATCATCCCCAAAGCCTTGTCCAAACATAGACATATTCTAAGGTTATAAGGGTTAGGACTTAAATATAAGAATTTTGAGGGGACACAACTCAGCCCCTAACAATCCCGCCTTTTTGAGACAGGGTCTTGCTATGCAGTTCAGGCTGGCCTTGAGCTCACTTTGTAGCCCAGGCTGGTCATGAACTCAAAATGATCCTTCTGCCTCAGCCTCCCAAGTGCTGGGATTACAGGCATGCACCATCACACTTGGTTTCCCATCCTGTTCTTGCCCACACTAGTTACGCCACCACTTTTTTTTTTTTTCCTGAGTCTGGCCCACGACTTCTCATGCTATACTGACTTCAGTGCCTTTTCTCTGTGTTCCCATAATACCTCTGTACACTACTTTGCTACTGCTCGATACACTCTAATTGTGTTCTCTCTTCATACTGCATTCCTTCACAGTAAAGACTACATTGCTAGCATCCAGCACAGGGTCGGGGCCACTGAAAGTATATTAATAAAGACTCAGGGCCAGGGAGATAGCTCAGTAGAATAAGCACTTGCCTGGCAAGCGCAAGGGTCTGAGTTCAATCCCCAGTTCCACACACACACACACACACACACACACACAAAGACTCGATTAACAAGGAGCATGCACAAAGAGCATAAAACCTGAAGTAAGGTGTGCTTACTTTGCCAGTATATATACAACTTGAAGTAAGGTAAGCTTGCATTCCACTCCTGGCTCCAGTTGTATACTTTGCAACTTACTCTGACTTCCGGGCAAGTTGTTTAATCTGAATAAGGTAGTTGTAAAGATAAACATTTTATCATAATAAAAGCACCTCTTTGTGGGGTTGGTACAAAGTAGATAATCAGTAAATGTTAGAATAAAGATTCTGATCTTGCCTGGCTTGACACCTAGTTAAACTAGTCAAACTCCAGTCAGTAGTTTCAGGACTTGGATATGCTATCCTTTTTGATTTAGTTACTTACCTAAAAACTACTCAATAGTTTGCTATTGGGGATGTAAGTTAAACATTTAGATAAGGATGTAGTATACATTATTACATAAGTGTTTCCTATTATTATAAAAACACTGCAGGTCTGCAGAGATGACTGGAAACCATGAATAATTTATCTCCTTCCATTACTAAGTCATGTAAATGTGACCACTGCCTTAATGCCTCAGGTTTCTTTTCAATTAAATAGGATAAATTAAAGAGGTCCAAAAGCTAGTACAGCAGATAGAGTTCAAATTAAAAACTCAAAATGAACATGAAATATTATGCCTCATTCCTTATATTGATGTTTAATATATCCGATTAAAATAAAATTTGTAAGAAATAAATTTTTCTAGTTATGACTGCAGACACTATAACCTTCCCATTGGAGAATAACACCCCTTAACTCATACTTTCAACTGCAGAACCATAAACCTATGACCTGGGAAAAGACTTTTGTGACAAAAGTCCAGTTCTACCGTTTCTGACCCAAATACAACAAGGTGTATCTGGAACAGGCTTGTAGAGTCTTAATGAGTGGCTCTATGAGGAATGAGAATTGCAGGCTGAGAGAACAATATGTTCAAAAGTATTAAATCAGGGGTTCTGGGCATGTTCTAGACGTTCAAGGAGTGTTGAGAACAGTATTAGGAAAAGATGCTAAAAATCCCTTTTTAATCTCAGCCTTTAAGGTGTACAACATCTAAAGTAGGCAACTTCAGACGATCTGTAACTTGGAAGCCAGGTAGCTCTAAGATTTGCACTCCTCTTTGTTACATAACCACATAAATCTTTAAGCCTCAGAGTGCAAACAGCTCTGTTAAACCGAGCTGTGCATGCAGAGCCCATAAAGGTTTCTGGCAAACTGCAGGTACTCAAATGTTGGTTCTTTCCCATCTTGTTTTTCAGTCATATGACTAAAAATGTATAAAGGGTATATGTAGTATGCCTTCACATAGTATGTGCCTTCTAAGTAACTGAGACTTGTTGGACATCACTTTATTCTAGAAAGCTGCAATGATAAAAAGTACTGCCCTTCCTCGCCAGTGTCCTTCACATCTACGCCTTGCTTTGCCACTATTAACACATTTGGAGACCTCTGCAGTTCAGACTTCCAGTTGGACAGCAAAGACTTGAAGGTCACAAAACACTTACAGTGACAGGCAAGCTCGGAAAGAGCCCGTTTCATTTTGTTCCTAGGGTCCATTCCAACCTGAATTTCCAACGAAAAGTAAATACTCTTCCCGAGCAGAAATAGCGAGTCTGAGGAAAAGAAGCATGACCAAATGACTGAGCTCATTGCTATGCAGACGACCCATGCCTTTTTGTGTTTGGGAGACTATTTTTATGTGACATTGAAAAGGATACTCGTCAACCTCCACCTTTCCAGCTTCATAACAAACACGTGGCTCGAAATCAGCTGTAAGAACAGCCGAGCTGACAGACCCGTCCTCTCGCGCCATCCAGATGGCGACCGGGTTTACGGCTCAGGGTTTAAGGTTAGCATCCGGAAGCCGAAGTCCCGGTCCTAAACCCGGCTCCAGAGGGCGCCAACCGGGTCGAATCCACGCTGGGCAAATCGACCTCCCGGAGTCGAACTCCCTGGAGTTGCTCCCCGGGAGCGAACCAGACTCCACCCAAGTTCGGGGTCCTCCGCGACCTCTGCTGACAGCGAAGCCGCCGGGGCGATTCACTCACCGGACGGCCTGGCGTCCTCAGTGTGATGCGCCGAGGGGGCGCAAGCAGCCTCCCGCAGCCCCTCGGCCGCCGCGGCCAGGAGGCGCCGGGCGCGGCGGGCCGGCTGGCCGCTCCTCCCTCCTCACACAGAAAGCCCAGCCTCGGCAGGATCAGGTCTGGGAAGTGCCGACCGCGTCAGGCAACGAGCAGGATCCCCGTTCTCCCGGCAGGCACCGGGGCCACGCAGAGCCTGCTGGGAGCTGTAGTTCCCCGCTCAGCCTCCCCGAGAGGCCCCGCCCTGCCCCGCCCCTCCCTGCCGCCCGGCCAGAGGCCGCAGTGCTGGGGCAGAGTCCGCCCGCGGGGCTCGGGCACAGCTCGCCCCGGCGCTCTCTAGCGCCCTCTGAGAGCGTGCTCGGAGTCCCCGGGTCCCCGGCCCCGCAGGCCGCCCGGAGAGTCGCTGGCCGGGCCGCCGCTCGGGTAAGGAGGGGAGGCCGGCGGAGAGGCGGGCGTGGGTCGAAGCAGGGGCCCGGAAGAGCGCGGCGTGGCCGGGGAGCCGCGGCCAGACCCGTCCCGGTCCTCCCAGCCCGCGTCTCCCACCTCAGCTCCCCCGGGCGGGTGCGGAGGTCGCCGTCCCCCGGCCTGCGCAGAGTGGACGCCGCGTCCTTCGAGCCACTCGCCCGGAGTCCCGTCAGGTCTGGGCGGAGCGGAGTCCTGTCGCGGAGGCGCCGACCCTGTGGGGCGAAGCTTGAGTCTGGAAAACTGCCCAGCCGTCCTCGACAGGACTTTGTGGAATCCCAGGATCAGTTTGAAAAGTACAGTAATTTTGAAACTGAAAAAGAAATAAATCGGGTTCTCGGCGTTCCCTTAACGTTGGCCTCTACTGGACGCCTGAAGGCGATCAGAACCTAAGTTCTGCGCGTAAGTGTGCCCTTGGTTTTTCAGGAAAGTGCCTTCCTGAAAACGAGAGGTTCAGACGAGCCATTCTGTCAGAGTGATGTTAAGTGAAAAAAGTTGGATCCAAAACAATAACTCCAAAATTCAGTTACTTGAGAACAGGTGTGTTATTTATGAAGCTGTATTTGTGGTACGTGAAGCTTTTTTTTTGTTGTTGTTGTTTTCGTGAAGCTTTTTAGGTACACGTGCAGAGGGCTGCACGGCGGCGCTTGAGAATACTGAGGCGCAGGTCTCTATTCTATTTTTAAGGAAAGGGTTTACATTCATACCTAAACAGAAGACACGTAGGAGAAGAGTGACAGCGAGTCTCCCACCCCGCGCCTTTGCAGGAGCAGCTATGGCCTTGACCTCACACTGTCTTATGAAATGATGTCTAAATAAGCTTGCTGAACTAAGACAAAACTTTTGGGATTAAACCATCCTATGGGGACAGCTCTTTCAGTACTAAAAATTGACAGATTGTTCACTTTTGTATTTTTCTGAAAAGTAGTACAGTAATGTAATGAACTTTGACATTGTTCTGTTTAAAACAACAAAATTAGTAACCCCTGGATGATGTTAAGTGAAAAAAGTTGGATCCAAAACAATAATAACTCCAAAATTCAGTTACTTGAAAAAACCCTAATCTTTCTGCTTTTAGGAAGGTCAGCTACCAGGGCTCAATCCCTGTCCGCCTTGGATAGCAGTGAGTGTCCTGGTGCCCAGAGAAGGGCTAATCCATGGCGACTGTGCCTTACACGTGTGTGCCGTGATACTTGGCTTTGACAGATAGCTGTGTCAGGAGACTGTGTATGTGGTTTCTTCACTTCCTTGGCCGTCTCCTTGGAATAGATTACTAGAAGAGGGAATTTCCTGGGTTAAAGGATCTGAATGCTTTCATGGTTATCAAAACATTGCCAACCTGCTGCCCAAAAGGGCCTTGCCTTTTTGTCCTGCCACCATTCTGTGTGAGGCTTGCAATGTAGCCTCTCAGTTTTATCCTTTGACTACCAAACAGTGTTGGGCGGTCAGGAGCACTTTCAGATGAGGACCTTGTTTGTTCTCAGTCACCTGGAAGACAGGTCGGCTGGGCACTGATTTCTGCTTCTGTAGCACACAAACTCCAGTGCCTTAACTTGATAGCAACAGTTGGCAGGTGACAAAAGAAACCTTTCAAGGTCTTCTTCTTCCTATTCTCTACCTTTTATTCATAGTGAACATCCTGAGAGAATGCTTTCCTTAGCAAAAAATTGGATATTGTGCTATGCTTTTCTGGCTTGCAAAATCCTCCTTTCTCATCTTGCTCAGATATTTGTAGATGCCCTGGGGGCTTCATTAAGACAAAATAATGAACAATTTAGATGAAAGAGATGGTATTATTTAGAAGGAAACAACAGGCACCAACAAATTTAAAACACTGGCACCCTTTCTGTTAGTAAGTCTGGAAACCTTTGGTGCTGGTTTTGTCTCTTGAATCTGAAGAAGTTGCAGAATCTTCATATATAATATATTGAGATTAATACTCTTTCTGAAAATGGACAAGAACTATTTGCACAGTAATTTATTCATCTTTGCTATCTATCAATTTTAAAAATAGAAAACTAAAAAATCACAAGACAAAACATTTAAACTACAAAAAAGTAATTTTCTTATAAAAATTATATTTTACTTTCCTAAACATTTGGCAATAAGACAACACTAATTACTATCCCATTGCTAATCCTGATTCTACCTCTAATTTGTTGCCCAGGGAACTCAAATAATTTAATAATTGATAAGTCCAATCAGAAAGCTTTGGAAATTCTTGGAATTTCTTCCCCCCACCCCCCACCCACCCCACGATACCGGGGATTGAATTCAGGATTTGCGTTTGCCAGGCAAGAACTTATTCTACTGAGCTATCTCCCCAGCCTTGGAATTTATTTTTGATGTGAGTGACATCATTTGTATCAAAAGTAGGTCAAAATTAATTGTCTACATTGTTTTCCACTTTACTCAAGCTCCTTTTAAAGAACAGACCAACAAGGATAGTTAAAGAGAAATGCACATATTGAGGCTTTGGAAATACTCAGAGCCTTCCAGTCTGCCACTCTGTAGTGATGTCAGATCCCAAACAGTGCGCAGTAAAAGGAAGTGCTCTTTCAAGACAGTGTTCAGAAGTATCTGTAGTCCTTGTGTCAAGGAATAGTTGCCTAAATTTAGGATGGGCTAGTAGCAACTAGTTCTTCAAGATAGTTTTATGTAAATGTAACATTGCTTTGCTCTGTTTTCTGTAGTAGGATATTTCTGCATCTGGAAAGGAAGATGAAGTAAAAATCTTTGAAATAAATGGATCTTAGATACTTCCAGTGAACCAAAGCGATTCAATGTCTCTTTTGGTGAGTTCCTGTTGATGTGGATCTGACCTTGATGTAGGGAGATAGTAATGTGCAGCTGTCATAAGACATTCTGATAGGCTGCTGTTTTGCTCAGAGAGATTTTTGTCCTGCATGACTTGTGATCCTGAGAAATGCATTAAATTCTCAGCTTTTGTCTCTTTCAAAAGAGTTTCTCTTGTACTTTGTTGCTGTATTGTCATTTTTATCCATTGTCCATACCCACTTTTCTCATAATCTGTTGTGCTTAGATGCCTGTCTGTTCCTGTTAACCATGCTGTGCATATTCTTTAAGAATTTGAAAAATTCCTTTTATAAATTTCTATCTCACCGAAAGAAAGCAAGATAGAATTAATAAGCCCACTATCTTAAACAAAAATATTTTGATCAATGTGTTGTAAAAGTGCAGATGCCAACTTATTTTTGGTTTATGAGAGCAATGAAACCTCCTTTAGATAAAGTAGCTTGAGGACTTTTGCTTTATACATTTTATATATAGTATAATACTTGAGTAGGTAATTTTCACATTAAGACAGTGTTTTTGGTCTTCAAAATTATGTGAGATTGTCAGAGCATGTAGCATCATCCTCATGGAGCCAGGAATTCAAGCTTATCTCTGCCCATCTACCCCAGCCATTGCCAAGGCTGACAGAACAGGAAGGTAGGAGTGTCTGCTACATGGAAGACGCACAGCATATGCTTGTACCTGTATATGTGGGATGTACACTGAAGTGAAATACCTCATCCTCTAAAGCAGGAATTGGGGAGCTTCCTAAAATGGCCACAGAGTGTTTGCATATCATGTGGCTTTTACTAAGCTGTTCAGCTGTTTAGCATGGAAGTAGCCACAGGCTATGGCTATGTAAACCAACACAAATGAATGAGGGTTCCAATTGAACTTTATTCATAAAGACAGGTAGTAGCTCCTGGGCCATAATTTGGTGTCCCTAGTCTAAAGGATTACTTAAGATTTTCTTTTTTTTTCTTTTCTTTTTCGAGACAGGGTCTCACTGTGTAGTTCAGGCTGGTCTTGAACTCACTATGTATCCTACACTTGCCTTGAACTCATGGGTATCCTCCTGCTTCAACTTCCTGAGTACTGAAATTATAGGCATGTGCTACCATCTCTGGTCTAGATTTTCACTTTCATATCAGTCTGTAAATTGGAGAAGATATAAAAAAACAATTAGTTTAATTCTTTTATTTGACAAATGGGGATCCTGATATTCAAAAGACTGATCTCAACTTAAAATAATCAGCAAATTAGGCTAACTGGGAAAATCACAATTTGATTTTGAGAACTTCTGAGCCAGTATGGGGGCACATATACAATCTCATTTAGGAGGTTGAGGCAGCAGGCTGAGTTAAAGGCCATCCTAGGCAATTTAGGGAGACTGCATCTCACAAAACAAGAAAGGAACAAAAATGCTGACATTTTTAGAGATAGCAACTTTGATTACATTTAAGTAAGTAACTGCAACATGTTAAGTAGATATGGATGGACTTTAAGAGACTCATTTGAGCCAGGTTTGGTGGCACACCCCCATAATCCCAACACTTGGGAAGCCGAGGTGGGAAGAGGGGACAAGGGTCAGAGATGGCACCAACAATTCTAAGTGACATGAAGTTGGTCTCTGGCACGCCCAGCTCTTCTCCTTTTCCCTCTACATTGAGCCTCTCTGCAGTGTGGATTCTAGCTTCCTTGTGTTCCTACCCCATCTCCAGACCACACCTGCTTGTCTGCCCTGCCTTACATTTACTTTATGTACTTTTGATTCCAGGATTGTTTCTGTACTTCACGAACACAAGTTGAGTCACTTAGATCTGAGAAACAGTCTGAAACCAGTATTCATCAGTGCCTGGTAAGAAAATGGCTGTGTGGTCAGTGTGCCTCTATGGCTTCTGCAGCTACCATCTGCAATACACTTCACTCCTGGGTCTCTTATAGCTCTTTTACTTTGCAGTTCATTTTACTGTTTTTTTCCCCACTTCCTGTTTTCCTTGTCTGTACTTGACCTTTTTGCTCTCCTAAATCAAAGTTCCTAAGCAGTCTTACCTTGTTCTGTGATTGCTCAGGTTTCAGATTATCTTGGAGCTACCTTGGGTGTCCTGGGGAGGGTGAGGGGTGGGTGGGTCCTGGCATCAAGTGAACAGGTAATTTTCCAGTTATTACCTACAACCTCAAGACTTCTTCTGGGCAGCAGAAATACTGATAGTATTCATCTGATTTGATTTTTCAAAAGTGCCTTTACTGAGTTTGAGTAAAACCATAGTCTTCTCTGAAATCTCACCAACCCACTGTATTTCCTGCCATGGCTAATAAGGACCCATCTATGAAGTCATCATAACTAGAAACTTTGAACTAAACTCGCCCCGCCTCTGCCCTGCCCCATGTGTAGTTAGATACCAGCTCTCAGGAATCTATCTCTCCAGCCCTCCTTCACACTGAGTGCTGGCTTGCCATTTGGCACTGGGCCTGCTGCAGGCCAACTTTTGCCTGTAATCCCCTAGATATGCACTAGTCCTGTCCCACCACTCACATCAGTGTTCAGTACTTGGCAGCCTTGCTGGTGCTGCTTTCCAGCTTGGAAACTTCCACTGGCTTTTTTTTTTTTTTTTAA